TTGCTCTGATGCCAATGGAAAAAGATCACACTTTTTCAGAGTTGTTCACAATCTGATTTCAACCGGTCTTTCTAGCTCTCTCCCACAAACGTAAGCTTTTATTTCAGCCAGAATAATCTACTTTTGTGGATTCCTCTTCTGTACCCGTTCAATGCATTAGGTTCTTTCCTAACATTCAATTGCTAGTTTTCCCTTTTTTCTTTGTAGAAGCTTTAGAAGTTGCAACCTTAATATTCCATGTGAAATTTTACATAATAATTTGACTTATGGAAGAATCACAGGTTAGACTCATAAGGAAAATGGTGTGAAGCTGATCTCAGCAAAGTAGAGGTGCTGATGGAAGGACTCACCTGATTTCTTGGAGAATCCATAACAACTAAAATTGTTTTGATACCTTTACTGTCCTTTACTCAAGGACAGAACACCAGCTAATTAGTTTACTGCCAGAAATGTGCAAGCAAGATTTACTTTTTCTAGACTGCCTACCTTTTCTCCCCTTGCCTATAAATCCTGTCCTTGCCTTTGTTCTCTAAGTCAAGGACCCTGTTATGAGAGCAATTTGTGTAAAAATAAATACCTTTTTTTTTTTAAATAGACACAGAAACTATTTTCTATTTACATTTAAGAATACATTGTTTTAATGACTGGAGATTAAAGCCTTTAGAAAAGTAAATCCATTTTCTATTTGTTATATAAAATAATCTAACAGATCACTTAATGGACTTTGTGTAAAAATTCCCTTGCCATTGAATATCAAAGCATTTTTATATTAACCCATTTTCTTCTGCAAGGTCCTACTCCACAATGGGCTACTATCTTCATTTCTCAGTGATACTGTCCATTTGAGACTCTTCAAGCTGTTTGCACCTAAATGATTCAACCAATTTTTATTTTATATGGGTTTCCATAGCAGTGACACCCATTTTGGCCACATGTAATGCAGACTTTCCCCAAGACTTCTATTAACTTAAATAGTAAACTTCAATGTGTCAGTCTTCAAGACTACAGGGCCATGTACCTCAAAAATAAGAAATTAGTTCACAATTATCACCAACCAAAATTATATTTATTTCAGGCTTACTGCATTAGAGAAATCTTTCAGATTTCGGGTGGCTGGCTGGTCTGTGGTTTATTTTCAGCTGAGTTTCTGAGAACTAAACATAGGGTGCCTATTCACCAACATGGGTTAAGGTAGCCCATCACAGCTTTAAAAAACACACAAAAAACCCCCAGCCTAGTTCATCTTCCCAATTTGTTTAGCTCTTGCTCACTATTCCCTGTGGACTGATTGCAAAGGTTTGTCTATAATAGGCACTTTATAAATATTTGCTAGAGTTGCCATAACAAAGTACTACAGACTGAGTGGCTAAACCAACATTTCCTCAGTTCTGCATGCTGGAAGTCCAAGATCAAGGTGTTGGAAGGCTTTTCTTCTGAAGTCTCTTTCCTTGGGTTGTACAGTCTGGTCACCTCAGTGTGTCCTCACATGGTCTTTCTTGTGTGCATGGATGCCTGGTGTCTGTGTCCAAGTTTCCTCTTCTCACAAGGACAGTAGGAAGTTTGGAGTGGGACTCACCCTAATGGCCTCATTTTAACTGTCATCTCTTTGAAGGCCCTTTCTCCAAATATAGTCACATTCTGAAGTACTAGGGTTAGGATTAAAATACTTAAAGTTTTTGGAAACACTATCCAGCCTAAGTTTCCTAACAAAGAGATCCAACCTGTCACTTATGTGCCTTCAAAGATTTTGGCTCAATATTTGTGTGAAAGTGTTATAGCATCAACAGTAAATAAAACTTATGGAGGTCACATAGGAAGAGTGAAAGTGCAGTTTGCCTAGAGCAGTGGTCGGCAAACTGTGGCCCCTTGACTGTGGCTTTTCCACAAAATACCACGTGCGGGCGCACACGTACAGTGCGATTAAAACTTCGTGGCCACACTCAAGGGGCCAAAGAGCCGCATGTGGCTTGAGAGCCGCAGTTTGCCGACCACTGGCCTAGAGACCAAACATTTGATCACAAGCACCCAGTTTTTAAAAATTTTATCTTTATTGTTAAAAGTATAAATGTCCCCTTTGTGGGCTTTTTCCCCCCACTGACCTCCTCCAACCCCCACAGCCCCTCCAGGCCTTCACCACACCATTGGGCACCCAGCTTTATGCATAATTCTTTTAAAAAAATATTGAAGAAATGGATGAAAAAAATCAATAACTTATGTAAGAATCAAGAAGAAATGAAGAGTGATATAGCTGCAATAAAAAACACCATGGAAAGTTTCAACAGTAGACTAGGAGAAGCGGAGGACCGGATTAGCGAATTAGAAGGCAGGGAAGCAAAACACACCCAAAATGAATGCAATTGGAGAAAAAAAAAATCAAGACAGGAGGAGAGCCTAAGGGAGCTATGGGACATGAAACGAAGCAACATACGAATAACAGGGGTACCAGAACAACAGGAAGAGGAACAAGGGTTAGAAAACCTATTTGAAGAAATAATGTCAGAAAACTTCCCTGAGGTGGGGAAGAAAAAGTCACACAAGCACAGAGAGTCCCAAACAAGGTGAACCCGAAAAGACCCACACCAAGACACTTCATAATTACCATGGCAAATGTTCAGGACAGAGAATCTTAAAGGTTGCAAGAGAGAGACAGAAAGTTACATACTAGGCATCTCCCATTAGATTATCAAATGATTTCTCAACAGAAACACATCAGGCCAGAAAAGAATGGACGGAAATTTACAAAGTGATGCAAAGCAAAGGACTGAATCCAAGAATACTCTATCACGCAAGGCTATCATTCAAAATTGAAGGGGAAATAAGAAGCTTCACAGACAAAAAAAGGCTAAGGGAGTTTATCACTACCAAGCCAGCAATGCAAGAAATGCTAAAGGGACTGGTGTAAAAAGAAATAAAAAGCTCAGAAAGAAAACAGGCACAAAAAAATAAAAATGGCTACAAACAAGTACCTTTCAATAATAACTTTAAATGTAAATGGACTAAATGCTCCAATCAAAAGACATCGAGTAGCTGAATGGATAAAAAAAACATGACCCATATATATGCTGTCTATAAGAGACCCACCTCAGAACAAGGGACTCACACAGACTGAAAGTGAAGGGATGGAAAAATATCTTTCAGGCAAATGGAAATGAAAAAAAAGCTGGGGTAGTAATACTTATATCGGACAAAATAGACCTCAAAGTGAAGGCCATAACAAGAGATAAGGAAGGCCACTTCATAATACTAAAGGGATCGATACAACAAGAGGATATAACCCTGATAAACATATATGCACCCAATGCAGGAGCACCCAAATACATAAAAAAAACTCCTGGAAGATATCAAGGGAGAGATCAACAACAATACAATCATAATAGGGGACTTTAATACACCACTGATATCACTGGATAAATCCTCTAGACAAAAAATCAGCAAAGAAACAGCAAGCCTAAATGACTCACTAGATCAAATGGACTTAATTGACATCTTCAGAACATTTCACCCCAAAGCCACAGAATATACGTTCTTCTCAAGTGCACATGGGACATTCTCAAAAATAGACCACATATTGGGTCACAAGCAAAGTCTTCCCAAATTCAAGAAGATTGAAATCATATCAAGCATCTTCTCAGACCACAACAGCATATTAGAAATAAACTACAATAAAAACAACCCAAAAAACTCAAACACTTGGAAACTGAGAAGCATGCTATTAAACAATGATTGGGTTACCAAGGAGATCAAAGAAGAAATTAAAAACATCCTGGAAACTAATGACAATAAAAACACAACAATCCAAAATCTATGGGACACAATGAAAGCAGTCGTGAGAGGAAAGTTTATAGCTCTGCAGGCCTACCTCAAAAAACAAAAACAAAAAATGGTAGTAAATCATTTAACTCTACAACTCAAAGAATTAGAAAGAGAGCAACAAGAAAAGCCTACAGTATCCAGAAGGAAGGAGATAATAAAGACCAGAACAGAAATGAATGACATAGAGACCAAAAAAACAATACAGAAGATCAATGAAACAAAGAGCTGGTGCTTTGAAAGGATAAACAAGATTGATGAACCTCTAGCCAGGCTCACCAAGAAGCAAAGAGAGGACCCAAATAAACAAAATCAGAAATGTAAAATAAGAGACATAAAAGGATAAATATTCTATGATTCCACTTATATGAGGTACCTAAAACAGTCAAATTCACAGAGAAAGCAAGCAGATGTTGAGGCTGGGGGAGAGGAGAATGGGGAGTTATTGCTTAATGCAGGGGTGGGGAAAATCCGGCCCTCGGCTGTAGAAGGCCCGAATAAGGCCAGAGAACTCATTTGGTCTGGTCCTGCCAAGACATTAGGGGTGAGTTAATTAAATGTTTGACCAAACATAGCAGGCTAATTTTTAAGTTAATAATTTTGTATGGCCTGTGAATGATGTTATAATAAATATCCAAATGGCCCTTGGCAAAAAACAGGTTCCCCACCCCTGGCTTAATGGGTAGTTTCTGTTTGGATGATGAAAAAGTTCTGGGTAGTAGTGATGGTTGCACAATAATGTAACTGTTCTTAATATGACTATACAACTTAAAATGGTAAATTTTATGTTGTGTATATTTTACAATAAAAACTGTGGCTAATGTGAGGAATGTTTAATTTTAATTAATTTAAATAAGTTTAAAAACTGATACTTGATTCAGTTATTGGAAAACTTTTAAGTCTGAAACATGTAAATTTTATAATATCCATTTAGAAGTATAGAAAAATATAATCTCACACATATTTGATATGCTTTGTTTTCAAGCCTGGAGCAATGTTAATATAGCTATATCCTTTCCCTACCAGGGCAAGTCTTTCATTTTACACCTCAAGCCTAATTTTATATTTTAAATTACACAGCCTACCTTTAAGTAGTCTTCAATCATACCTAACTAATAGGCATCTAAATATTTATAGAATACCTACAGAAACACAAGTTGAATTCATGGAAGCATATATTAAATCAAAAGTACATCCAATACCACCGAAATGGTTTTATTTTTGTCACTGACAACATGCACAGCACTATGATTGTATCATTACTTTGGTTTCTTTAAATATTACTTAAGTATGCATTAAAAATATATGTTTACATTTAAGAAACGTAACATACTAAAGAAGTCCTCTATAAACATAATTCCTCAATATTTTTTCCTGCTGTTTCATACATAAATAACTTAATCTATAAAGTCATAAACAATTTAACTATTAACTCTAATGGCCTAAAAGTATACACAAATTTTGAAACTTGACAAGTGTTCTATAATTTTATAAATAACAACGTGCAATAAGTATTTGTAAGCAAATAAATGACTTCTCATCACAAGTTCTTGTCTCCCAATAGACCTTCCAGTGCACTTGGGGAAGATGTCATACATTTAAAAAGTATAAATACTCGAAAGACTAGATTTTAAAAATAGTACAGAAGGTTGTCATTTAAATATTACCAAGCCTTACTAAAATCACTTCAGTTTGTCTGAAGAACAAAACATGCTACCGAAGAGTAAATGCTTATTCTGCCATTTAAATGGAAGCTAACAAATTCTAAAATAAAGTCAGATTGAATTTGTATTAGTCTTGCGAAAAATATTCCATTGAGATTCTATTACAGAAACAGAATCAAAATTTATTATGAGGCAAATTTTGATTAGTTAAAACTCTATAGTAAAAACGACACACAAAAATAATCTTAGAAAGACATTATAGAACATTAGATTATTTTGTTTTTGTTTAATAACTGGAAATCTTTATTCCTTCAGAAAATAGTAACATATTTGTTGAATGACAGTTCCTGTTAGTGACTAGATATCCACTGGCTATCTACTGAGTTATTAGATAACCACTCAAGATATATTAGGTAAGTACTCAATTTATTTTTATGTAATAAACATAAAAAGAATTTTGCATGTTGAAAATGTTTCATCATTTTCAGAGTGTAAAACTAAGGGAAAAACATTCTCGATATTCTCATTAAATGATTCAATTGACAAATAAAAAGTAAAAGCTAAGTACTATCATTACTTTTAAAATCCAAGTTTCTAAAAGTTTTATTTTTCAACCAATACAAAATTGATCTGGTTCACACTATTCACTGCCAGACAAATTTTGTTTAAAAATTAAACATTCTTTGTTAAAGAGATTAGAACAAATGTTTTTGATTCTGATATATATAATGAATATAAATCAAAATTCACAAATGGTGGTTGAAATTCTGTCAACTTTCAGCCTAGTGCAACATAAATCCAGTTATTTTGCATAAACAATTTAAAATTAAAGTTTATAATGGAAATATCAGCAAGTCCTAACTACTACATTACTACTAATGGGTTCCACTATACTACAAACAGGCTCACCAGATGTGCACATCTGATAGACTGCTTAGAAAATTAAAGCTATCAGATCTATAAATAAGGAATAAATATGAACACTGTAATGCCAAAGCATTAGCACTGTTTAAAAAAGCAAGATGTGATGTAAACACATTTGACAGTCCTCTCTGTAAGCCACTTTTCATTGATTTATAAAGCTATGGTTTTATAATTCTTTTAAAAAGGAAAATGTTGCTACACTGCTGCATGCAGTAATTTCATTGTACATTCTTGAGTACAATTCGATCTTCAAATCCTCTTGCAGAGTTTGACATCTCATTAGGAATTCTCCAGAAAGTCAGCTTGTCATATTTTCAGAAGCCTGTAACAAGAAAGTAAGATTCATTATAATAAAACCATGGAAAAAGAGACACCATGGAAATAAACTTGTCAATACCACACTGTCATTAACAAACAAATCCTCCCCAACATATATCAAAACAGTTTTGCCAAATAATGTAGTGGTTTTCATTTTTTGTAGTACATTAGAACTAGCTTTTAAACTGATTGCTAGGCTAACAGTAGGAAATTATTTAAACAATACAGTAAAATTATATTGCTGCTTAAAAAATTAACCTATAGAAGACCTTATCCACACAGTCTTTATTAGTTTGTCCGTTTCTCCATGTTTCTTTATAATGCAAAAAGAGGATTAAGATGAAAAAAGACCTTTCTGTTATGTTGTAAGCTAGAGAAAAAAAGAGAAAATAATGAACTCATGACTAATCCTGTTTCACCTATACCAAACTATTACCATCTTCCATGATTATTCTGCAGAAATTCCAAGGCACCATATAATTCCATCAATAAAAAGACTTGATATATATTTCTAAAAATAAGAATTTAGGCTCTGGCCAGCAAGCTCAGTTGGTTAGAGCAACGTCCAAATACACCAACGTTGCTGGTTCGATCTCCTAGGTAGAAAAACAAATGGGTGTTTCTTTTTCTTTAAGTATCAATAAAAGTTAAAAATAGCCCTAGCCGGTTTGGCTTAGTGGATAGAGCGTCAGCCTGCGGACTGAAGGGTCCCGGGTTCGATCCAGTCAAGAGCATATCCCCAGTAAGGGGGCTTGATCTCCAGGAGGGGGTGTGTAGGAGGCAGTTGATCAGTGATTCTCATCATTGATGTTTCTATCTTTCTCTCCCTCTCCTTTCCTCTCTGAAATAGAAATATATTTAAAAATAAAGGATTAAATAAGTTATTAATGACAAATATGAAAATATTGATTTTTAAAAAGTTTAATTTCAGATATGCATGCTGTTTTTAATTCATTTACACTTCCACTTCTTAATTAAAACTTGCTTTTAAGTTTAGTCTAATTTCAGAAGTCTGTCATGAAAATCCCTTAAGATATTAGGAATCAACAGATAACTCAATCTGAAACAGAACTTACCTTGTTTTTCTATATAGTTAGCTATTCTTAATTAGCCTTGCCCTTCTCTGAGTTTACTAAATTCACAATAATTAAAACCCAGTTTGAAAAAAATAGTCCCTTGTTCTAAGAACCCTTAATGGTTCTTCTACTAGCTTTAGCCATATAACCTTTAGTAACTCACTCTTTCATCTTCATAACCACATTCTCAGTATCATATACTTCAAAAAAAACTTGAAATAATATATACAATTTTAGGATTTTTAAAATTAAAGCACCTTAACTTTAATGCAATTTAATCTGTCTTGTCCCATTCCATTTTCATAGTAATTTTAGAAGTTCTCCAAGATACAGATAATGTATCAAGTATGATACACTAAAAATGAAACAACTATTTTCATTTAAACTAAGTAAGCCATCAACCATGTGTAGCATTCATGTTAGATGAATGCAGAACTACTTTCTATTCAAATGGACAGCAATCGCATCCTAGACACCCATATAGTTACCAGATGGCCATTAAAGACTCCAAAAATTGCCGAAACCGGTTTGGCTCAGTGGATAGAGAGTAGCCTTCTTTTCTGTGCAAGTTTATGTTCGATTCCGGTCAAGGGCATGTACCTGGGTTGCGGGCACATCCCCAGTAGGAGATGTGCAGGAGGCAGCTGATCGATGTTTCTCTCTCATCGATGTTTCTGACTCTCTATCTCTCTCCCTTCCTCTCTTGTAAAAAATCAATAAAATATATTTTAAAAAAAAGAAGAAAAGACTCCCAAAATTTGTAAGCATTGGGCCTGGGAAAAACCAGTGTTAGTAGCCTTCTTTTCCAAACTCTTTTCTGTGCAAGTTTATTCCTTTCTTTGGTAGGATGGATGGGACCATTGAACTTAATCCCTCGTTTCTCTCTCAACTAAAATTCTGCTCGAATGTCCTCGTGTTGCAGACCTGCCTACACAGTGAGAGATATATCACTCACCCTTAGATATTAGTGATGGTTCAGCATAGCCACAAGAGAAAGAGCAAGACTTAAGGTATAGGAATGCATCAATGTCAGTGTAATTCAAGACACCATGGCACAAAGTAGAGGTACAGAAAAGTAGGTCTTGCCTAGAATTTCTGAAATTATAATATGTAAACGATTGCTTACCCATTAATAGTAGCATTGAGGAAACAATACAAAAATTCAGTGTTAAGCAACCCTGGTATGTGCCCTTGACCAGGAACTGAACCCACGACCCTTCGGTGCTCAGGGAGACACTAACCACTTGTCACAGTGGCCAGGGCTCACTGTTGTTAATTCAAACGGCCCACTCTGCCCTGCCCTCTTCTCCCTCACCCAGATTCCTCAATATACCAGTCTGTGAAAGAGAAAGATAATTCGAATCACTAGGACTTCTAGGTAAAGCTAGAATGCAGCAGGAACAGATTCTCCTTACCCTATTTTTCATACCAAATGAAGTAAAAAGTACAAGAAAAAAAATTCATTAGCAGCAACCACACAAAAAAGGTAGAACCTTATGCTTATAACTCTTTACCAATCCCAACTCCAACCCAATAGAAGCAGTAAATACAGGATAAACTTTAATCTAGAGAAGCAACCTGAGGAAGGGTATTTCATTCAATAAAATTAAGTGTAATACTTTTATTTTTAAAGTAGCATTATACTATTTAGAATGGTGTTCACTATTATCACTGGTTATTTCTTGGGTGATCTTTTTAAAAATTTTATTGATTGATTTCAGAGAGGGAGAGAGAGCTAGAAACATCAATGATGAAAGAGAATAATTGATCGACTGCCTCCTGCATGTCCCCTACTGGGGATCAAACCTAGAACCCGGGCATGTGCTGGGACTGGGAATCAACCAGCGACCTCCTGGTTCATGGGTCAGTGCTCAACCACTGAGCCACAGTGGCTGGGCTGAACATTCTTTTCAGCTAGGTTACTTGCTTCTGGTTCCTTTATAGTCCTCACAAACTGCATTACAATAAAAAAATCTCTACCCGGAAACAACCTAATATCCATTCACAGTAGAAAAAAAATAAAGTTTAGTGTATTTGTACAATGAAACATTATTAAAATGAAAAGGAATATATTAGTTACACACAACATAAATGAACCTCACAAACATCCTATCTAATAATAGACAAAGATTCAAATTGACCGTACCTTTGCTACACCCACCATTGGTTAATCAGAGCGATATGCAAATTAACCGCCAACAAAGATGGCGGTTAATTTGCATACGCAGGCGCAAAGAGGAGGAGCGAAGAGGAGGAGTGAAGACTGAAGGCAGCTCTGACCGGAGTAACGAGGGGCTTGAAGGCGGCTCCGGCCGGAGCAGCAAGGGCTTGAAGGTGGCTCTGGCAGGAGCAAAGGCCTGGGTCCCAGGTGCTGGAGGAAAACCGGTGCGGGCAGCCAGGGGAAGGGAAGGCCTATTGCACGAATCTTTTCGTGCAACAGGCCTCTAGTGTTAAATAAAAGAACCCAGTAAAAAACGGATTGTACTGCCCAGCTGGTGTTGCTCAGTGGTTGAGTGTTGACCCATGTTGGGTCAGAGCACAAGTCCAGGTTGTGGGGGCTCGATCCCTGGTAGGGGGCATGCAGGAGGCAGCCAATCAATGTTTCTCTCTCTCCCTCTCCCTTCTTTCCTCTCTCTGAAATCAATAAAAATATATTTTTTAAAAAAGAAAAAAGATTACATTTATATCACGTTCAAAGTGTCTACCATAAAAATCAGGACAGTAGTTACTGGAGGGGGAAGCAGGAAAAAGAAGTCAATGATGGGGGACCATAAGGGGACTTCTAGGGTGTTGGCAGTGAGTTGCATAGATATCCTCTTTATGAAAAATATTTGCTCTATAAATGTTTATCTTTTGAATTCTTTTAATAACCAAAAAGTTAAAAAAAAACCACAAACAACCCAAATCACTGGAACTTATTGGAGAATAACAGTCTGAGATGGGTAAGCTACGTGTTTTACATAGTTCTATTTCCTCAAATAAAAGAAATAAGGCTAAAGAAAAGCCACTTTGTCTTTAGAAGTTTTAAACAGGACTAACTGGAAATTTCAGTATTCTTGCATGGTGAGTTGGTGCTATATAAACATGAAAATAAAAATCACCTGAGATTTTAAATCAGAATGTGTCTAAGCAAGAGAAGGAACGCTTTTCCTGTTCCCATTATCAGCAGTTTAAAGGTACTAAATTTGAACTTGACAAAAGGTGGTCCTTTGGGCCCATGTTGGCAGTACAGCCCAAATGCCCTCAGCAGCTCCCTGGACTCTGAGACCCCTGAGTTATTCTTCCCTTTTCTTGAATAAGTCCATGTTCACAGCTGGTTAGCTCGCTTGCCAAGTTCCTGCCTATGGAATGCCAGAAGTCTGACAGCCTTCCTTCATTCTGTACTTCACAGGTCCCTTTCAGTCCAAGCTGGCAGTGTTTTGTGCTGAGATGGCTGACTGCATCTATGAAACACACCTAATCTCTTCACAGGTTCCTCAACCACACTCCTGTCCTTCTCTCCAGAATGTACTATCTGGATGGGCTCAGAATTTTTCAAAGCAAGTGTCATTGCTTTTTGCTTACTGTTCCCTCCCCAATTTCTCATTCCTCTTACATTTTACTATAAGGAACAAGAAGATAATATCCAAGTTCATCACTTACAAGCTTTATTTTCCTTCCAACAGTAGAACATAATTCAGCCAGGGCTCCTTCACTTTATAGAGAGAATAGTCTTTCCTCCAGTGCCTAATAATATGCTCTTCATTTCCCTCTGACACTTTACCAGAAGCCCTAATGTCCATATTCCTTGCAATATTCTGTTCATAATGTTATATGTATTCTCTAAGATGATTAAAGCTTTCTCTACAGCTCTCCTGTCTTTCTGAGCTCTCATCATAACTGTCTTTAATGTCCATCAATCTACCAACAGTCTCTTCAAGACAATCTAGGCTTTTTCTATTAAATGCATTAAAACCATCCAATCTCCATTCATTACCCAATTCCAAAGCGACTTCGACATTGGTAGGTGTTTCTTATGGAAGCACTCCACTTCCCAGCAGTAAACCTGTGTTAGATTTCTAAGTCTGCCATAACAAAGTACCACAAACTGGGTAATTTAAAACAATAGAAATTTATTCTCTCACTGTTCTGGAGACAAAAGTCCAAAAATCAAGGTGTCAGCAGGGCCAGCCACTCTCGAAGGCTCTGGCAAAGGATCCTTCCTTGCTTCTTACGGCTGCCAATAATCCTTGGCCTTCTTTGCCCTGTAGATGTCATCACTCCAATCTCTACTTCTGTCATTACATGGCACTCTCCCCTCTGTGTCTGTGCCTTCACATGATACTTTGTGTATCTGGTCTAAATTTCCCACATCTTATAAGGACATCAGTCATTAATCCATTATAATCTCACTTTAACTTGATTATACCTGCAGATATACTATTTCCAAATAAGGTCATATTCACAGATACTGTACCTGAGCATATGTTATTTCAGGCAGACACAATTTTACCCACAACACAGGGAAAATTCTAAGGGAGACTACTAGGAAAGAAACAACATGGTCTATCACAGTAGCGACTTTTCTGATCTGAACATATGCTACTAAGCTTTTGCTCTTCAGAATTTCTCTTGATGATGGATAGAAGTTACTTTAATCTTGTTTAAGATCTTTCACATAACTTTATCATTAATCATTTTCTAAACAAAAGCATCTTTATTTAGAATGAAATAACAACTGGATCTCTACCTTTAGTGCTTCAGTGGCCTTTCGAAGTTCCTTAATAACTGCTGATAAAGCTTCTGGATTAATTCCTTGTTCACAAAGCCGTACACAAATAGACAGAGTCTCCATATCTAAGCCAGTATTCAAAATTCTTGAAATCTCGAGCAGAACTGAAAAAGAAAAATTTTAAAACCAAAATCTTAGATTTTAAAAAATGCACATAATACTTTGTTTTTAATTTGTATATTACTATAAATACCAAAGTACTAGCATGCCATCCTTACATTTGGAAATAGATAATACTGTCTTGCCCTTACTTAGCTCTAGAAACTTCAAAATAAACTTACAATCTCCCTCCACACAACTGCTTTTTATTCCACCACCCACTTAATATCCATCTAAAATTTATGCATCATTATTCTGAACATTTCCCCACTTTTTATATTCTTTTACAATGTAATTGAGTCAGTCACATAACATTACATTTTATGGAAACATCAGACATTACTTAACCATTCCATTTTAAGAGTTAGGTAGCTCTCATGTTGTCCCCCATTAAAATAATATGGTGGTAAGCATCTGTACATACTAACTTTATTTTATTAGGATAAATTCCTAGAACTGCAGCTGTTCAGTCAGTAATATACATACTTAAGGCTTTAAAAATATTTCAAAACTTTTCCAATTTGACTGAGTATACATCTTTATTGAGCCTAAGAATAAAAAAAATGAAAGCTTATGCTTTTAACTTTATTTTTATAGTACTTCATTTTATTATAGCTTATAAAAGTATCTGTCTTTCAAATGACAAACATTATCATAGAGGACCACAAGAAGTAAACACACTGGCCACATTAAACTTTCTTTTTAGGAATTTTTAAGTCAATGGTTAATGTGTTATCTATTGCTTTCCTGTACCATTTTCCCTTGGTATTATGCTTAGAAAGATTATATAATTATTCACTAATATTCTCTTCCAGCACTTGGAAAACTTATCCCCCCCTCTTCTACCCCCATAAATATTTAAATATTTAACTCCCTAGAGTTTAGATGGAAAATAGAATTTCTTAACTTTTCCTTTCAGAAATAAGTCAGTTGCCCAATACTATTTATTGAACAATCTATCCTTTTACCACTCAATTACGATGTCACCATTATCATAAATTCCCATATACCTATGGATTTGTTGCATGTGTACCTTGTGTCAGAGACACAATTTTATTTATTAACTTTATATTGCTTATAGGTTAAAGAAACTTGTTACCTTTTATTATCATAAACCCTTTCATTCTCTCCATAAACTTAAAAATATTGATCAATTCCAAAAACAAATTCTATTTGGATACTGACTTGAATTCCATGAAATCTACATATTATTTTGGGACAAATGGACAATATTAAATCACCTATTAATTTAAGTCCTCCTAAAAACTGTTAAGTCTTCCATTCCTCTACAGTGGGGCCTTGACTTACGAGTGTCCCGACTAATGAGTTTTTTGAGATACCAGCTGTCTCTCGGCTGGCTGATTTTTTGCATTGAGTTGATAGAGTAATTTGAGTTAACGAGCTCCTTAACGAGCTCGGTCTCGGAACGAATTAAACTCGTAAGTCAAGGCCTCACTGTACTTAACTTTTGAACACATGGAGTACAGTTCTGTGTCAGTTAATGCTAACATCTGTGGCAATTTTGGGTATGTTTCAACTGAATTTTTCTCATTGTGGGTTGTATTTTTCTGCTTTGCATACTTAGTTTTTTATTGGATGGCAGACATTGTGAATTTTATCTTGTTGGCTGATGGCTATTTTTCCATTTCTATATTCTGATTTTTGTAATGAGGTAGTTATCTGGAAACAGTTTGATCCTTTTGGGTCTCTTAAGATTCATTAGTCAGGACCGGAGCCCTACTTAAGTGTAAGGCTAATTATTCTCCATTACTAAGGTAAGATCCACCTGAGTCCTCTACCCAGTCTTATGAATTATGAAGTTTTCCATTTAAGTTGGTAGATAAAGGCACTATTCTCAGCCCTGTGTGGGCATGGTATATTGTTCCCTCTATTTCTTTTGATTGGTTCTTGCCTCAGCTTTTGGGGTACTTTCCTTGCATACATGTGCTATTCAATGCTCTGCTGAATACTTGAGGGAGACTTTCTGCAGACCTCCAGAATTCTCTCTGGGTGCAACTTTTCTCATAGGCACTCTATCCTTCAAGCTCTCCCTTTTGTAGTCTCCCTGGACTCTAAGCTCCTTCTGCTAAATTCAGGGTGTCCAATGGGTTCCATCTGGATTCCTGCCTGAACCACACTACATTGTGGTCTGGAAACTCTCTGAAGGCAGTAAGCTGGGTAAACTATCTGGCTCATTTCACTTGTTTCCTGTCTCTCTGGGGTCACTGCCTTTGCTGCCTGATGTCCAGTGAAATGAAAATCATTATTCTGCATGTTTTGCCTGGGTATTTTGGTTGTTTCAGGTAGGAGGGTTAATTCAGTCCGTTACTTCATCTTGGGCTGAAAGCTGACAGCCCCTTCCCACTTACATTTCTCCAGTTTTGATATTCCAATGTACTAATACTTTGCTCTTCAGTTGAAATCAGGCTGTTATCCATGCTATCTGCTTAATTTATTTTATCTATTTATTAATATATTTTATTGATTTTTACAGAGAAGAAAGGAGAGGAATAGAGTTAGAAACATCGATGAGAGAGAAACATCGATCAGCTGCCTCCTACACACCCTTTACTGGGGATGTGCCCACAACCAAGGTTCATGTCCTTGACCGGAATTGAACCTGGGACCCTTCAGTCAGCAGGCCAACGCTCTATCCACTGAGCCAAACTGGCTAGGGCTGCTTAATTTATTTTAATAAATCTTTTAGGATTTCTAATTTTCCACCATAATTACTTGTTTCATAGCTAACTGCTTATTTATAACCAGTTCTTATTTTCTGCTGTTTCTGCTCTTATCCATTTAAGGTTATATTCTTTTGGTAAACCATTTTTGAGATTTCCTCTTCTTTGAACATAAGCAAGTAGCAAAAAGAGTGGTTAAGGGTGTGCTCTCCAGAACCAGACTACCTGGGTTGGAATCCCACTTTCATTACTTAGTAGGCCAGGTAACTTCTCTGTGCCTTTATTTCGCCATTCTGTAAAATGGGGAAAATCATAATAGTTATAGGATTGTTGTGAGGATTAAAGGATAGTTAGAATGGTGTTTGGCATATGGTAGCGCTCAATAATACTTTCTTCCCCCCCTATTTTTCATGTTATGTTTTTCTTCTACCATGGGTACTTTGTGATTTTTGACTGAAAGCTCATACTATATAATAAAAGGGTAATATGCAAATTGAACAACCGGTTGCTATGACGTGCACTGACCACCAGTGGGCAGATGCTCAATGCAGGAACTGCCCTCTGGTGGTCAATGCGCTTCCACAGGGGGAGTGCCACTCAGCCAGAAGAGGGCTCATGGCTGGCCAGCGCAGCGGCGGTGGCAGGAGCCTCTACCGCCTCAGTGGCAGTGCTAAGGATGTCCGATTAATGGCTTAGGCCTGCTCCCTGTAGAGAGCGGGCCTAAGCCGTCAGTCAGACATCCTCCAAAGGGTCCCAGACTGCAAGAGGGCACAGGCCAGGCTGAGGGGACCGCCCACGAGTGCACGAATTTTCGTGCACCGTGTCTTGTCTTCTACAGATTTTCTTGGATGTCCTGGATTGGTGATGTGTTCTTGAATGGGTAGTATCACACTGGTCTCAACCCTCTTCATCAGGTTTTGTGGAAGCATCCTGGCTCCAGACACACAAGACACATGAATGTATTTCTCAATACCTAGCCACAGCAGATGGCATCTTTCTGGCCTCAGTTTCACTCAAACAGGGCAGTATACTTTGTGAGGTTTCGTTCCCAATCCCCTATTGTAGTTCCAATGAAGGCTTCTCTTTCCTTTTTTAAAAATGGCTATTCTGATAATTGTATTTTAACATCATTTCCTGTCAATTTTATATGCTTGGAGCAGAAAGTTTCAGCCAGTGCTCAGTTATCAATTTCGATAGTGAATCATCAATTTCTTTAATTTTTAGTTTTGGTTGTTTTCATAAATAGACTCTATCTCACTCTTGCATATTATATTTTCCTTTCAATGTGCACAAATCTGTGCACTGGGCCTCTAGTCTATCTATAATAATAAAAGCGTAATATGCTAATTAGACCAGACAGCCGAACAACCTCCTGGATGAAACCTGGGCTACAAGGGCCGAGGCAGGCCGCCACGGCTGTGAGGGCCAAGCCCCTTGCACAAATTTCATGCATTGGGCCTCTGGTATATATATAAAAGCCTAAGCGACCGTTACAACATCCTGCAGCCTGCAGGGATCGGGCTGAAACCCGACAGTCCGACATTCCCCCAAGGGGTCCCCGATTGCAAGAGGGCGCAGGCCAAACTAAGGGACCCCACGTGTGCACAAATCCATGCACTAGGCCTCCAGTGTTTACAAAATGGAATACTATGCAGCTATAAAAAAGGATTTCTTACCTTTGAGACAGCATGGGGACTTGGAGAGTATTATGCTATGTGAAATAAGCCAGTCAGAGAAAGACAAGTATTACATGATCTCAGTTATATGTGGAATCCAATGAAAAAAATAAACTGATGAACAACAGAAAAGATCCAGAGACATTGAAGCATGCAACAGATTGACATATTTCAGAGGGAAAGGCGGGGGGGCGGGGGTGGGGGAGAGGTTAACTAATGAATTTATATGCATATATGTATAGCCCATGGACAGAAAATAGTGCGGAGAAGGCCTGGAGAGGGGATGGGAGCAGGGGGGAGGTGGTCCCTGGGGAGAGGGGGGAAGGTACATCTGTAATACTTTCAACAATAAAGACAGATTAAATAAATTAAATCACTCCTTGAAGGAGGGTAGTCAGATTCCAAAAGTTTTGACCACTTCAGTTTGGCTCTCATGGATAGATTTAAATACAACTGAAATCCCATATTACCAGAATTACAAATAATAATGATGTTTGAGTAAGTCAGCCCAGCCTCTCGGGCAAACTAATTTTATTTCTGAGAATGTGAGCGGAAGATGGTAAGATTATAAAGTGACTGCATTTAGGACTTTTTCAGTTTCATTGTATGGTCAATTATTTACAGTATAAGTATCACTATGCTTTCCTTTGTGTCTCAATCATTATAGATAGCATGGAAAATATCTATGGAACACATGCTGTTTTACAGTGACCACAATAATTCAACTTCACATATTTTGGAACTGATTGTCTTAAACCCAATTATGGCATGATAGCAGGGATTTTATGTAAGTTTAAAGTTCTAATGGACAAGACAGTATCTGTCACTTTTTAAAAAAAACATTAAAATACATTTGTATTGATTAGAGAGAGAGGAACAGAGATAGACAGAAACATATATGAGAGAGAAACATCCATTGGCTGCCTCCTGCATGCCCCCCACTGGGGATCGAGCCAGAAACCCGGGCATGTGCCCTGCCTGGGAATGGAACTGGTGACCTCTTGGATAATAGGTCCACGCTCAACCACTGAGGCACACCGGCCCGGCAGTGTCTGTCACATCTAACAAATGTTGATCCACTGCCAACCTGGGACCTTTCTTTTTACCTTTTGGTTTGTGGACAAACCCTGTGTAGAGGAGCAGTATTCTCTAATCCACCCCTTCTCTCTTCCATTTTTTTTTTTAAATCTGTTTCTCATTTTTTCATGT